AATTAATCATGTTTTTATAATATTTATAATTCGCGTTTTTATAATATTTATAATCAATTTTAATTATATCACAATTCCATATTATTATTGTCATTGCAACAAGGATTCTCTATGTCTTTCTATCGAGAATATGGATTTCAAATCATGAATAAGAGCGCATCAATTTTCCCTGTTATAACGAGATAATTCGCGAATGGCGCGTATATACGTCCGCGTAACCAACAATTTTGGTCAAACGTTCTAATTAGCGAGATTACAATGATTTTCATTATAGACGAAGCGGTCCAACGCATTTGTTATTATCTTGATTTAGCAATTGATCGACGTTGACAGTTCGACCGAGCAAATTTGATGCAAGAGCTCATCGACCGCGCAATCGCATGCTCATTCAATACGCTTCAGGAAATTAGTTTCGTTATCAGTTGTTTTTTTGTTAAGAAAATAAACTGAATTTTAACACGAAAGTGTGTTATATTATATATAAAATTTTCCATCATTGATAATTAAATCCATAATTGCACGAGAAAACAAAACTTTTAGGAGCAGATTCATTGGTTCGTTAGTGCAATGATATAATTTTTATCGACTGATTTACAGGATATTATTTACGTAGCATTTATAATTAAGTTTGATATAGAAATGTTATTATACATAGAGATAAATAAGATCAATATTAAATTTCAATCTTTCTTTTGAAAAATTAAAAATCTATATTTAAGAAATATTTAATAATTAATCGAATCAAACAAAGTTTACGAACTTATTGTAATAATCGAAAATTAGCTTTTATCGAGAAATGAAATTTCATAATCACTTTATTTCTTAAAGCAAATTGGTTTTAATACAAAATTACATGCTTATAGCTCAGTATATATAAAACAATCGCAAAATCGAATTTAATAAAAATGGAAGATTGCTTCGCAGATGTTTCTTGCCAGTTTCATTAGTTGTGTATTATGATAGATAGAATAGCACTTTTGTCAGATACTTTATTGTTTAATGCAATTTTTCCAATAAAAAGTTCCTTCATTATTCTTTGGTAATCGTTTTGTATTCAGAAATATATCTGCGAGTTTCTCTCTCTCTCTCTCTCTTTCTCTCTCTCTCTCTCTCTCTCTCTCTCTCTTTTCCTTTAACAAAAACTTCGGTAATACTCAGACAGGCTTCATTAAGAAGTTTCTACATCTTTTCCTTGGTTTTGTCGTTCTCTTCGATAATTGATAATTTGTTGGGATAAATCGAATTGCAACGTCGATGAGAATCGACAAGAAAATGGTATGTCCCATGAAACCTACATTCTTCATACGTTTGGCATAAGAAGAAGCATCTAATTCAACGACAATCACTTGTCATAATCCAACATGACAATTTTATTTGTTCTTAGATATTGATTTTTTTATCCATAGAAAATTAGAAAAAGCTTAATATATGAAATATTTCTTTAGCTTATTATTTTAAAGTTTATATTTGGTGAAATAACATAAAAGACTAATAAAAATTATAACTAAAAACTAAAATTAATAACTAATAAAACTAATAACTAAAAATTGACAAGAAAGAAAAGATAATCTCTTCAATTATGGATTGAAATTGCTCGCACAAGCTAGAATAGTAGATAGTATACTCTATATAAAGTAAAAACTTCTTCAATGAGTTGTATATTTTTCTTTTATATATTTGAATAAAATATTGTATGTGAATCGCAATTATGTGTAATTCAGAAAGTAAATTATATATAATATAAAACAGAGAGTTTTTTTAAGCGCAATAGCATCTTTCATATACATGTAAGCCAATGAAATTTTAGAGCATACTGTGTGACTACTTTGGGTCAGTTTCAATCAATTCTGATCAGCTGTTTGATCGCTGGGATACATCGGATGTATAGATATCGATCGATCTTGAGATTCAAGGGGATGATCAGTGATTTGTATTCCAATTGACATTATCTCTAGTCGTACAATATTCACGTCCGACATGCATGACTATTATTCTGTCGCAGATATATAATATTACATCAAAAGTTTAATTTATCGCATCTTTAAATAAAAATTAAAGAAAATATATTGTGCCTATATTACTTTTATAAATCGTCAAATTGTATTTTATTATTAAATTTTATTATTTAATTCTATTTCCACGCTAATACATGTGTGAATGAATTTACAGCGATGAAATTCTCATTTCCTAGTAACAAAGAGAAAGAGAAAGATTTATTATGAAAATTCTTTATTTCCACATTTAATTATTCCTATTATGAGATTAAAAGTATTTAAACAACGTTTAAAAATAATAACTTGTAATAACTCTTCTAGATTAATTAACGTTTAAAATACCATACAATAAAAGAATAATCATACAATAAAATTCGTTAAATTATATTAGTTTCAAAACAGTGAATTATATCTCTCTTCGTGTTTTATCTTGTTTTTTAGCTATCACGATGGATTTGTTTTTTTTTCCATCAAACGTCAATCTCCACGTTATCGCGTGTATTTTCTACTCCACCAATTTATGACGCAATCGAAAACAGACATAGCTCAATATACCCATAGAGCAAACTATCGGATGGGACGCGATGTCGTACGATGGAATATTGCATAAGCAATTTCACGTCGCTATTCAATATCGTACCGTTCGGAGATTCATTCGTCCGAAGTTTAACTTACACTCGGCTTTTAAATAAGATCGAACCGAGCCGGAGCGTAAGTGAATCATCGAGAATGCTTCGAGAATGCTTCGATTGAATATATGAACATCCCTCGAGAGAAATTAATCCCATCTTTACTCTCGCGAAACTTTCGGCGCGTCATTTCCGGCTTCGCGAAGGCCGTTCGCGTTGGAGTTAGCGAACTTCTTCTCATTGTTCTCTTCTGTTTTACGTTCAGAGAACTACGCCCATTCAGATCGTAAAACATTGTTATGTCGATACTAAAATGCCTTGTGTCACGAAATTCTCTTCGGAAAAACTTTTTATTTGATTTTATCTACGTGTTGTATTTCCCTAGTGACAGACCGGCGATCGTCAAAGAGATAGAAGAAATAAGGATGTTTGTACATTGCAATCGAATGGTTTGATATAACAGAGACCGTGATTGCTAAAAATAGCGGACAGGCTGTCTCGTCAGAAAAACATATCACATAATAAAAATATTACTTTTCGCATATAATATTATTTGATTTTATTTGGAAAAGTATAAAAAATATATTACTGGTGTCGTTAAATGTAAAAATTAATTTGTGATAATAATTAAATGTACTTCTATAACAAACTTTCAATATGCGATGAATCATCAAATCCAATTTAATGATTCAAATTTTATTTAGATTTCTTGACTTTTAATAATCTTATCCTAAATTTTATTTTAAAAAGGAATATTTGGACGGGCTAAAAATAACAGTTATTTAAGGAATTTTTTTTATTTAAAAAATTAAACGAAATTAATATAATAAAAATATATGAAATCAAATTATATTTTTTTATTCAAATATATATCTCGTTAATTGCATGTGCTTCTAAAAATTGTTTAATTCAATTATGTATAATTAAGGTAATAACATCTGTCGGAGCACAATTTTTATTTTAATTTTATTTTAATTTAAAAAATATCGTCGAACGATTCGTATATATTTTTAGCCCGTCTAAATCCGTTTTATATGTGCGTATTTTTCTTTAATTTTACTGCAAAAATCATTGTTCATCACAATTTTTAATTGAATAAATATTATATCCAAGTATAAACTAAATCATATAAAAAAATTAAGGTACGAATTATTTTTGTTCTAATAAATGTTTTTCACTCAGTTTTATAATTAGACTCACGTAAACGAATGAAAATATCGATAGCAGTTTCTCTCTCGGTACATCTACAATTTCATTTCAAGATGCTTCGCCGCACGTGCGAGAACGACTCTTCGCCTCTCGATCGTTTCGTAAATCGAGCTATCCATACGAAGGAGTGTGCCATATTAGTGGAAAGTGCGCGAAAACCGTAATACAAGACAGTGGGTAACAGGATTCTCTGCAATTGCGTTGTCGCGCGAAAATTTCTTCGTAGCAAAAATGCACGACTTCGGCATTTCGAATATTTCACTGTGCTTCCGGCTCTACTTTTCCGGCGACAGCGTCAGAAATGAAAATCGAAGATTGGTTCGAACAATGTTTTCCTTGCACTTGCGGATCTTATAAAGCGCGGGGTTTCTTTTATTATGTCTGCTGAATGTGCATATGTGCGTTGTCAGCCTGTCGTCGCGCCCACAGAATTCTATAGAACTACCGCACCAAAGTGCTGCAAATCAAAGCACCTCGAGAAAAATCGAAAATTTTCTTAGATGAGCGAGACATATTCCGCGAAAGGTTCAAAGGACAAAAGTCCATTTGCGGTTCCATTTGGCGCTATAATAAAACTTTATACGGTAGCTGGATAGAATTATAAATTTCGATATTCTATCTCTTTGGCACGGAAAAATAAAAAAATTGGCATGTAATATAAAAGAAATATATGTAGTGAGAGATATACATGTATTAGAGTACAAAAAATATATATTTTTATAAAATATTATTTTTATATAAAAATATATATATACAAAAATATATACAAAAAATTAATTTATTAAAAAATTTACTCTATATATCTTTTCTTTATATGATTAGTATTCGCTATTTCTATTTATATATTGTAATATGTTAAAAATAAATATGATGCAGTATTATTTACAAAAAAAAGGTAACTTTTATAAAATTGCTGCATAAGAGAGAAAATCATTTTTAATCTGAACGTTGTTTTGAATGCAATTGTTTAAAAAATGAGATGTTGTTTAACGAATAATTATTATGATAGGGTCTACATTTGCAGGAATATTATCATTATCTTGAATAGATCGAGTTATTCTCTCTTTTTCTCTTTTTTCTTCCTTTCTTTCTCTTGTGTGATAATATTATATAGTAATGTTTGCTCCTTCTGATATGTCTAGTATTTTTATATAACGTATTAGCATACCTGACAGGTTTTCACAGAGCCACATCATCGAAGTCCTTGGAGGAGCTCGAAGGCTGATCTTGTTCTTTCGAGATGTTCGTTGTCGGCTCCAGAATAATCATCTCGCATCCCTCGGGATTCTGCGTTCGCGTCGTGTTGCTCGGTAGCAATGTCTCTTGCAAGGTATTATTACCGTTACATAATTTGTCTCCCTTGCAGCCCTCCCTGCTCCTCGGAGTGTCACCATTAGAGTTTCTCGAGAAACACGGCAGGACCTATGAAAACATTAACGGGATTTCATTTTATGATTTCTAGATAACGTAAAATTTCAGACATATCATAACAATGATATCATTCTATTGGCGCGTCTTCCTTGAAACGAGATATAATTTTGACTCATGTCAAGCTGGCTCCATAGTTGACTCATGCCATTATTCTGACCAATGATTTTTGATTGAAGTTAAATATACATACATATTATAGGCACATAGTATTCTCATAACTTATTAAATTAATTGGAAGCTTCTGAAAACATTGCATAATTTTTTTTACGATTATCAACCCTATTAGCTCGATAAGCACAGTTCCTCATCTCTTCGACAAATGTATGCGCAATCGAGCAATGTTTAACTTTACATAGTCCCATTTACTAGTGATATCCCTCAAGGCATAAGGTGCGGTTAAATCAATTTTACGTCCGGATAAAATTAATAATCGATCCCATAATTGCAGTTTATGGAGAAGCTTTCCAAGAGTCGTTACGAAACGGTCGTTAAACGACCGTTTTTATTATTGTGAAACTTGAGGTTGGAAATTGATAGAAAGGCGTAGTCACAAGATGTAGTATAAATGATTAAAAAATAATTAAAAGCAAATCGAGAGAAGAATTAATCAAACATCACGAGCGCGAGAAAAATGCTTAATATATGAGAATAAATCTTCATTAATTCCAAAACATTTTTAATCAAATTTGTTTATAATTAATTTTCTTTTAATTATTCACAAAGAGATATCTTACTTTACAAATGATTTATAAATTGATCACATATGAAAGATGATTACATTATTATTTTTATATCCTATTTCTTCATTACAACAATGAAACGTTAAAATTGTGCAGTATAATATAAAGATATAAATATTGAAAAAAAATATACAACAAAAATTATAAAAGGAAGAGAATATATATACACGATACGAATAAAGAAAATGAAACAATGTGAAAAATCCGACATAATATATTTTCCAATAGTATCAGAGAACGAGAGAATACTAGAAAATATAAAACATTACGAACATAACGAGATACAAATCTTCTATTCTACGAGTTTATTATTATAGTAGCGCGCAAAGGAATCTTAAGGGAGAAAAATAAAGAACAAAAACCAGTTTATTATCATAAATTCCTGTTTCAGCAAATGCGAACATGCTTGAACCGTCAATACGTTACCATCTTTGAATAGACTGTGGATACTCTTATTCAGAATGCAAACTGCAATATTTATACGTAGTACGTTTGCGCACGACTGTTTCTAGTATTATTATAGTTGATGTTTTCTAAGCACGTTTCGTACATGTGCAAATACAGAGGCAAAAAACAGCCATACTGCAAATTAATTGAAATGCACGATCTTCCCCTGTATAACGAATGTAAGATGTGTATTTCGCCAAACCATTAGATTCTCTCTCCGTCGATAATTCCGGTAATTTCGATGCAAATAGTCGTGCCCTAATTACTTTAAAGCGCGTCTTTGCAGCGCGACGTGAAAATTGCGTACGTGCGCGTGATTTTGACAGATTGCGAATATCAACGTAAAATTGCATTCTAAATAGTTCTATTATATACATATATATGCGCGACGTGTTTCATATAATTTTTTTAATAAGAAACACATTCTAGTAAAATTTTAAAGGGCTCGGAGAATATATAACATCAAATTTATCTTCGAGAATCTGCTAGAAAATCTGCTATTTTTGATACGTTGCTTTTTATATTCTACAATTTTGCGAAAATAGATTTTATGCAAAATGCTATATCTATACAAATCCTGTAACTAAAATAATCCGCTTACTCCCGTATACCTGACGGATGAGAGAGAGAGAGAGGCAATAAAATAAATAATCTGTCCGGCAACTTGAAGAGAAGATCTGATTTTACCTTGGCTCTCGCTCAAAATGGCAGAGGTAAACTTTAATGCATATCTGCTTATCGAAACACATGTACCTGTTTAAATTCCTTGCGAAAGTTGTCATTCAGCCAGGCGTAGAGGAACGGATTGTAGCAGGTGCTGCTCATGGCGAGACAGTGCGACATGAAGAAGCAGAGCTTGTAGTAGGACCAGTTGTTGGCGTGCGAATAGAAATCATCGACGACGTTGACGATGTTGAGTGGCAGCCAGGACACGCCGAATATAGTGACCATGGCGATCAGCATCCGGTTGGTGCGACGCTTCCTCTCGCGATCCGCCTCCTCGCGCTTGCTCGTCTTGCTGCCGGGCTTGGCACGCGCCCGATCATTCAGCTTAATCGACACGCACACGTAGCAGAAGGCGATGACGAAGAACGGCACGACGAATTGCGCTATCGACGTGAGCAAGCTGAAGACCTTGCGAAATGGCTCGCTGGGCCAGTGCTCCTCGCAGTAGGTGTAAGGTTCCTCCAGCTGCATGTATAACCCGTATGGCAAGGTCATTATCAGCGCGATCATCCAAATGCTCACGATGATGGTTAGGCATATCTCGATCTTCATGCGCGGATGAAACGGATAGATGATCACCAGGAATCGATCGACTGCTATGCTGGTCAATGTAAACGTACTGATGTACACGCTGACGCCCTGGGCGAAGGGCACCAGGTGGCAAAGGGTCTTACCGAAGACCCAACCGCCCAGGAAGGTGTAGAGCGGAGTGAAGGGCACGGCTAGCACGCACAGCAGTACATCGCTGAGGGCGAGATTCGTGATGAAAAGATTGGTGACCGTGTGCATCTGGCGGTTTCGACCGACGACGAAGACCACCAGCACGTTGCCGAAAATACCCAGCACGAAGATGATGATGTAGAACGCGCAGAATACTGTCTGCACCATCACGTTCGACGTGGTAACGTCCTCCTGGTAGCTGTAGTTGCGTGCCGACGAATTTTGCACAGCAGATGCCACCGACGATTCCGATGTTATTTGCGTCATGTCTGTGTCGTTGATCATCCTTAGTTTATCCTGAAGAAGAGCGCTGATCTGCCTCTTTCACTCGCTTCTTCTCTTCTTATTTCGAATCGATCATACGTTAAATCAATAGCACTCGCGTAGATAGACCCATTTCCCGAAACAACGAGGGAAAATCTCGTTCTCCGATAATGTAATTCGGCGAGCCACGAGTTAATCGGAAGAGTGCGCGCTGACAAAGTCGAGTGAAGTGTCCGCGATCGACGTCATCATCGATCCCGGAGATGCGAATTAATTTCTCACGGAGCTCGTTCATTTACGTCGATATCGCTGGATCCCGCGTGATAAGGTTCCGATAGATAAACGAGTTATAGCCCGAGAGATAAGTAGATTAGTTTGGATTTCGCACCGCGGTATCTCTCGTCGGGACTAAATGACTTCGCACCGATTTTGTTCACAACACGTATGCGTTGCAGCTATCGTTCGCTGCAATAATCCTTTAAGCGCGTTCGATTTTGTTAACAATTTAAGGGCAGCTCGATGAAAAATATTGTTTTCGTTGTACGATCACAATTCTTGCACGAGACATTTAATTTCTTTTTTTATTGTGTATTTAAATCTCGAAGAAATTCACTTTCCACCCTTTTTCGCATTTAATCAAGATTATTGATGATTTTATTACATTTTTTACAATAAGATCATCTCGTTAAAGTTCGGGCGAAAATGGGAAAATCGTTAATTATGACGAAAAAATTCTTATTAACAACAACACCGATTTTTTCTCCTTGTTCATTAGTTTGCAAGGTGGCAGTGAGTAAATGTCGAGGCTTTATGAATGGGCGAGCAAAATAATATTGTTAAAGGTATTTATATCAAAAGGCTCGTTCCCAGGACGTCGTTGCATACTCACTCTTACACTCCTGCATTATAGTACATAATTTACACTGTTCTTTGGCAGCTATATATTTTAGAAATCGATCGTCTTGTCGATAGAATCGTTTTTGTATGTCAAGAGTTTAATTACATTTTATGTTTACATTATATAAATATTATAATATGTTTGTTAATATTATTAACAGCATTAGTCGCGATTTTGTCGGTTCCTTTGACGTTTCCGGAGAGAAATGACGACGAGAGTTAGGCAATTAACATGTCGCGACGAAACTTTCGATTCTGGGGAGAACGGTTATTCGTCTCGCTGAAACAGAACACGGGAGAGTAATTAAGAGCGCCGATTATGACCCGTTTGGCGAATACCAGTGGATGAAACTGTCGGCAAACTTTGGCAATGTCGTCGTCGAGCTGTCAAACAAATATTCGGAAAGTTTCGTAACTGTTGACGCACAATAGCCACGTCGTCTTTCACGGATCTCGAGAGTACAACGAACGAGCTATTTTAAAAAGCTCGAGGGAACCGGACATTCCTCAGGCTACCTTGTTATTTAAAGTCTAAGAGTGTTTCTAAAGCTCGGCGTTCTCGTTTCTTTTTTTTTTTATTTCCTCTTTCGCATCGAGGAATAATTTTGTTCGAGAAGCGACACGATGAATTTGCGACGGACTGTTTCTAACGTACCACCGACTTCCGCTTTTGCATGCGTAAATTTATTTATATGCGGCCGAAAGGTTGTAAATTGCACAGGGCGGAAATAGTTTTCCACCCGTGAACGCGCGATGCGTAATCGGAGATTAATGGAAGCGCGTTGCGAACTACATAGTATGTAGTTTATTGATGGAGCAATGTGTTACAGCAAATATTAATGAATTTGTTGCGGTTATAGAGTATCGAGAAACAATTATGGCAAGTTCCCGAGATAACCGCAGAGCGTTTGTTAAAATGTTTGGAATATGAATCATTGATGATTTAATATAATAAATTAATTATTATTAATTATCGAATTTCACTTCTGCATCGCATATTTTTTTAATTATTGAGAAAATAAGAATGAAAGATGACGTATACAAGATTTCTTTAATTTTCTCAAAACCAACTAATGCAAGTATAATTTTGCGTTTCTATATTCCTATAAGAGAATCTTTACTTTTTTTAACAATCAAGTAATTCTATAATTTGCCAGTCAACATTAATAATCTCTGCTGCACCATAAATTTGTTGCACAAACCTAATAATAACTAAATATAGGAATCTTATTTTGTACACGTCATATACAATTTTATTTTTTAATAATTTTTAACAATTTTATTTTTTAATAATTTAAAGTAATCTCTTCTTTTTTCTTTCTGATATATATTAAACTTGTACATTTAAACATTTCGTTGTTCTTGGAAAACTGACAAAGGGATTAGAGGATTATCGACCAATATGAAAAAGGGAATAAATATGTGCATCCTGACGCATTGTGAAAAGTGATCATGCTTGCATACACACACACACGCACATACACATATGTGCGAAATCGATTTCGGCCACCTGTTGAAGAGTCCGGACGAACCGTGGCAATTTCTTCCGATGAAGCTGGCGGTGGATCTCGTTGCCCCCAAATTTCGTGCCGAAACAAATCGCTTAATTTAGCGACGTCGCGACGCTTCACGCGCGCGATCACATAAAGATATTAGGCCGATATAACTACTAGAATTCGCTTATCCTCGAGGGATTCGCGAAACGAAGAAAAAGTAATAATGGCAGAGAAACATGTATATAATCGCACATATGATACAAGCACAAAAAAGGATTCTCTATGCAATCTGTCTCTTATAATCTATCACGCGCGATTTTATATTACGCAACGCGAATATATATATATATGTATATGTATATAGAACATCCGGAGCTTTTTTATGATTTATTTATTTTATTTTATAATTTATTTATTTTATTTTATGTATATTGATTGTTTTTAATGACATATATGGAGTATCTTTTATGCGTGTATGTACACTTTGACACTCGTCTAATTAGAATGCACCTTCTCTCGCGCTGTCTTTTTTTATTTTATTTTTTATCTTATAATTTTGTTACTGATTTATTTGTTCATTTTTTTCAAAATATCGTGGTACACGTGTTTGTTACGCTCGATTTATTTCGCGGGATGTTCAATAAATCGCCAAGTTTCGCGATTTTTGGAAAAATATCGAAATCACGATCGCCAGACGGCGATGCTCTCATCCCGAATATGTGGTGACGCGCGACGATCATCTCGGAGCGTCGCGACGCCGGCGGTTCACGCGCTGCTTCCTATCGGCGACTGAGAGGCGTGAAAATCGGAAGCGCACCGGCTTCGTGAAAGCGACTTCGCCCCGACGTGGTTTTTCCGCGCAGGCGTGCGCGTGCTTCACGTATGTGTGCATGATCACGATCATGATTTAACACGAATATTTTTTATGATAATATCGAGAAGTATGCATATATCAATGCTTGATTTTATAAGTATTGAACAAGTCAGATTTTGTGAAATTTCAGAACGATACATCACCTTTCTTCTCGTAATTTTGAAAAATATCGTTCTCTTTCTTGAGTTTAAGATGTTAAGAGTTATATGTGTACTTATACCAATTGAATAGTATTTTCTTAAATAATAATTTTTATTTAATTCGATATATATACTTTTTTATTTTTTTTTATTTCACTTTTATAGGTTACTTTAATCTTTTCATTCAAAAAATTTCCTCCCTCTCTCTTTTTCTCTTTCTTAATAAATTATTTATTAAAACTAAAAATTATTTTTTACAAATATATCTTTTTCTATTTTATTGAAGTTAAATTTAATATTCTAAGTTTGATAAAAAAAAAATTTTATATGATAATATGTTAGTAAAATAACTCTCAGAAGTGTATTTAAATTTTTCAGCTTAATACATTATATAAATAACACAATGTTGAATAAATATAACGACAGCTTTATCAAAACTATTGACAGCTTTCATAGCTGCCGTTATATTTACCTTATATTGCTATGTGTGATACATGTGGTTGTGTAATAACAAAATCATTGCCTTATATCTTACATTTTACATGCTTGTTTTATGGAATCACAATGTTTTCATAAAAAAAATCATTTATATGTAATTTAATCTGATAGATACAAAACACTACAAGAATTTCAATGAGACATGAAATATTTTTAATTATGAATTATGAAGAGATACACTATGTATGTATATAATTTTGAAAAATTTTTTTGAGATTAAATTTGTAGAAACTTAGTAAGAAAACAGTATGTAACATAATATGCAATCTATGATGTATAGTGTATAGTATCATAGAATTTTTAATTTTGAAAACATTTGTTTAAATCTTATAAGTCAATGAATATTTTTTTATTATATAAAATTTGAGTAAGATATAAATCTTTAAAATGCAAAGTTCACGAAAATTGATAATTAGTAGTAATTAACGGGGAAAAATAAATTTTACGTATTACAAGAATTTCTATAAAATATCATTCATCATTTTCATCTCTTATTATTTATCTATTGCTATCATTATCATATACAAACTATTGAATAAAATATATACAATATATATAATAGTACATATATAATGTAAAAATACTACTTTATCGTAATTAAGACGACAAAAAACAGTACAAAACTAAAAACTCTGCAATAATTCCATTAAGAGTTAATGGACTAATAATTAGATTTCCTTCATGAGCGTTTTACAGTACAACTACTAAAACTGTAAAAACTTGAAATGCATCTTTTTGTGTACTTATTCTCCTGTATCTCAATTTGTACATAAATTTAAGTAAGCTGCTATCCGAAAGAAACTAATAACAATTCAACAATTATATGCTATATATTCGTAATCTTTCTCTGCTTGATGCACGTGGCATCAACAGCTATGTCAAGGCAACTTCAAAATACTTAGAATTCTTGTGAAACCGGGAGAAGAATCTAATAAAAGTAAAATGAATATATCCTTCGCGAATATCCGCACGCGTTCGGTTTCGCGAACAGAGAAGAGAGCAAATTCGCATCCGTTTGCATCATATTGTGGATAAATTCTTTGACTCGATTATGCTCTTCCCGGATGATGCGAAAATTCTTGACGCGCGGTATGCGAAAAATTTCACATTTGTTCGGGACGATAGAAGTACAAGTTTTGCATGACAGTCTTATTTAAAACGAAGGCACGTTGGTCGGAATGTTGCGAGTGAAAAATGGTGAAATTAGACGTCCATTTTTAGATGCCCGCTTGATAATCACATCGGTAATCAGAAAAATTCGTAACGATAATCAATACAATACCGAGAGAGCGTGAAACTTTGGTTGAAAATTCGCGAGTCACTCAGTAGAGCGCAGCACGTAACAGAATGATAAAACATGTATTTTACACTTGATATTACTTGATATAATTGCTTTGACATTTACATGCCACAAGAGTCAAAGATTAATTAAAGATAATATATATTTTTGCAGACGTAGAGAATTCATATCTTATGTCTTTTAAAGCAGATAATGTTTTTTTTTACAATATAGTAAATAAAATTTCAAAAAATACAAAAATAATTATACGAACATAAGCAGTTAGTTAAAAGATTTTTATAGTTACAGATTGAGATATAAGCATTTTATAAAATTTATGATATACATAATTATATTATTCATATATTTTTAATTGATATGAACCATAGAAAAAAAATAATTATTCATATTTTTTAACAGACGTAAATTTTTTTAAATTTTCTTTAAAACGTCCATACATATAAAAAATATATGAAATTGTTGGAAATTTATATTTCATTATATGCGAGATGAAATGAGATTAAATAGGCTTCGTGACAAAGTAAAGGATTTGAATGTTTTCATAAAAGCACTATTATAAAATACAGTAATTTATTAATAATTAGTCCTTTATCGTCAGCTCATCATGATAAATTAAAACTTGCAGATATTTCATCTTCCTCGCTATACACACTACACATTTTGTCACATTTTGTCTCGCAGCTTATAATATACAGGTCTCGGTTTTATCTTCTATTTTGCTCTTATACATACATACATACATATATATATATATATATATATATATATATATATAAAATTATATTTATTTATAACAGCATGTGGCAATTTGATAAATCCGCAAAATTCTAGTTGCACATACACACTTGTCCACTCGCTCGTGCTCTTTCGTTCTTTCTCTCTTTCTATCTCTTTGTTCTTTCTATATGTCATATATATATATATGTATATATATATGCGCCTATACACACATATACGCGCCTCTCTTTGTCATAATGTCATATCTTTTTTTACTTTTTACAATCGTACACGGCATACGCCGGATGGTGCGAGGGAAAGAGATTACAGTCGACTCAGAGAATCGCAGAGAGCGGCGGATATTATCGACGATTACCGCGTGCTTTCCTTTCCTTTCCTTTCTTTTCTTTTCTTCAATCGACAAGAGAAGAAAAACAATCCAATAGAATCGACATACGTTCGATTCGCGAAACATTTAGCTAAATTGTAATTGTATATTAAACTACTTACAGAACATCGCGAAAGAAAGCAATAGAGACGATATATGATTAATTATAAATTATTATTACGCTTCTCGTCTATACCGTTAACTCGTAAAGTACATGTGTACTACGCGTCGTGATATCTTTGTCGATTGGTCGTAGGAAAGGCCAATGTACGGATCTCGGAACGTGCGAAGACCCTTCCGACACGACGTCTTTGATTTACGGCATAATTTTTCGGACACACTATTTACATTGTACAATAAGTATAATCGCGCGTGAGTCACCGCCGACGAACGTTCCGATATCCGTGCGTTTCCCGTCAACTTGGAACTCCTAAAACGGCACGACGTCAACGACACACATTTATCGCTTACGAGGAATAGAAACGAAACCGCCTCGAATCCGAGAAGAATCACAGATTTATCTTCTGCGCGCGCGCGAGAGAGAGAGAAAAAACTATCTCGCTCCTTACAAGATGAGAGATGCTTCGCGTGTGGTCAATAAATAATAATGATATTATCATTATTATCATATTATATATAATAATAATGATATCTGGATCAGGTATATTAGTTTTCCTAATACATTAATTTCCCTATCAAAAATTTGATACGAAGGCACGAAACGACTGGGAAAATGTAGTTATGACTGCGATTTTTCGTGCGGTTCTTTCGTATCACCCGGTGCGCTTCGATATTGCGGCATCGCGCGCATTGGCTTAACAATTAGTTTAACTTATTTTACACTTTGATTATACATATATATAATATAATAACTTAAGATCAACGAAAGCAGTATGAATAGTCTGTGAACTGCGCGTTATAATGTAATCTGACGAAAAGCTTATCGTCTATCATCATTCGTAAAAATAAATAACAATCGATATCATCCATACACCATAATTATTTAATTAACGCTTTACTTTGCCGCGCAATTTAATGCTAAATATGACTCCCACCGCTTACAATGCCGATTTCCATATCACTAAATTCAAAATTAGACGACCGAAAATCTAATGTTAAATTTAAGAAGCAGAAATTATAGCATGTTTTGTATACTGTATATACATGCTGTGTGTACGCAACGCACGCACGTGCGTGTACATACATACATATATACATAACAATAATAAATAAACATACATACACACACACACCCACACGCATAAATAATAATATTAATATAAATTATATATATATTATATATATTATATATATATTATATAAATTATATATAAATTATATATAATTGTATATATAAAAATTATAGGTATGTATATATATATAATGTATGTATGTATATAAATTATACGTATATATGTATGCATGTATATATGTATATATGTATGATGGATGTATGGATATATAAATGTATGAGTACGTATATACATGCAGAATAATTCAAAAGCATCCTCGTCCAAGCATATCGTCTGTTTAGTTTAACAATGTTTATTTTTTTTTTCAACTTTAAACTGTGACTGAAAAACAATGTGTACAGCGCCGAAAATACAGCCGTTATGTATTCGAAAAAGTTTATTAAGGAGTAAGACACGAGACGCATTGCTCTCAAGGATTCTACTAGATATTAAAGTATTTGAAAACACCTGCTGCTCTTCTGAACTAGAGGCTTAACATCTTTCTGTATCCTTAACTCTAAATTAAATTATTTTCTTTATACGACGTGTGAAGATAAATTCGCGAAATATATCTAAAAATTACGGTCGAATCTATTCTACGATGTATACACACAGCATTTGAAAAGGATGAGAAGAGAGAGAGGAACATAATGTTTTGACTTAAAGGTCATGTGTGGAGAGACTTGAGTCAGTGGTGAAATTTTAAGAGATATAACGCAAAGTATTATCGCCTGTAAAATGTGACTGACATGATCCTGCTAAAATTATGCGACGGACATTCATAGTAAAGTACAAAAAAAGCAAGTGTCACAAGAGTGTTCTGTTCATTTGTACTATATAAACATTAGAGACATACAGCAGCGGAAGTCCCTGTGATGTATAAAGTTTTTGTGATGTATTATTTCCGTTTTTTTTAATAAGAGATACTAGAGCTTACAAAATCCGTGATAAGAATCTACCGCAACAGGTAAAGTACACCAGGTACTTTTGGTAATTTCTCTATATTCGGGCCATTTTTCGTAGCATAAATTTAGAATCTTTTTTTCTTTTTTAGGAACTCATAATAATAGCTAAGGTAGATTAGAGTCATTACGAATAGATCTAAAATGAAATTGCGTGGTGCAATGCAGTGAACAGAAACTTGTGTATCGTAGATGGAAATTAAGAGCAAGTTTTGCGTTTTTCAGATGACTCTAAGCTATATGCGCGAACATATTAATGTTAGAACTTTAGAGCTATATTTTATAACGACTAAATGGACAGTGTCTCTCTGATCAACTTTTTCATAGTATTGCCCATCGTAGTGGTCGACGGACTAGAAGTCGTGAAGGACATTTTGAAGAGGTACGGCTGTATATCTGGATACGAAGTGTCAAAGATCAAATCTAGTTCGGCCTGACTCGGCACTTTTGGAACGTAATCGTGTCGATTCATGACCTCGGTGATATAAAGGATTTTTTCCGTCAGCAAGTCGCCCACTTTTTCCCGACATATCTGCCGTTCGTGTTCGGTGGCCAATTTGATGAGTTCAAGACGTACCGTCCACACTTCCCATGGGATACATTCTGGTTGAAATGGCCAGCGGCTTTTTTTCCTCTGGAAGAATTCTAGAGATATCTGACCTGAGCCCGGACTGTCGGTGGAGCGAAGAGCCTCCGAAAAGCCTGATATCTCGCGTTTCAACGTCTGATCGAGATACACCGACGAGCAGCAAACGTAAGTGAGGTCGATGAAGTCACAATCCACGTCCTGGTATCCCACAGTACCCACCGAATAGCTGCCTTCCTGTTTGTACTTGAATTTGCCGAGACTTCGATGGAAGAGCACAGTATGGAATATGCTTGCCACCGCCTCGTCCACCTGACGTCCCTCCATACTCAATTCAAACAGCTGCGTTCTGGCATTCATGACGATACCTGTGTATATTCAATGAAGAAAATTAATATTAACAAGAACAAATTTAAACAAAGATAGATTCACAAGAATGTAATTATTGAAGGGAGAATTTGTAGAAATAAATTATACTAAGTTAAAATGTTCCATCGCTATCAGATATTTTACGACATGCACAAACCAAGTAAAAATTATGATTAACAGATTAACAGATTAAACGATAAGCTGTTCAGAAATACAATAACAATAAAATAACAGATTTATAATTCACGCTAATGGTGGAGTGCACAAAGATACACAATGACTCACAGTATTGTGTCATTCGCGGTAAATACAAACGACAATAAAACGCAAATATGCATAACTTGTCACGAACGATTCTTATCAACTTATCAAATTAATTTAACAAACATAACAACGATCTTTATCATCGAAATCTCACCGATATCCGATCATGCAAGCAAACGACTAACCTCGAACTTGTCAAGAATCACGTAGACATGACGTGTTAACACGTGTAATGTCACATCCAGTATCGCGATTGAAAAATACGCGAGGAAAAATACGAGAGGATGCGGACAATCGTGCGTTCGCGCTTTTTACGTAATGGTCAACGAGAGAGGTCGGAAAAATCAAGGAGCCGTGCATCGGACGGGACCGCGAACACACAACGCGCTCCGATCTAGCTAGATGTAAACTAACTTCGCCACTTCCTCCCTCGGTATCGACGCTTCCACTCTCGATCACCCCGCCTCGCCGTCCTCGCCGTCCTCGTGTCGAGCGATGGCGGACGCAACTAGGTTAGTTTCTCGCGCTCGATTCGTGCCCGCTGACTTGGTGACTTCCGCCGTCGCAGGCCTCGCTGCTCTCTTCCATCGAGGCAATCTTCCCGTTTTTTCCTCGGTTCACCACTGCCACTATCACCACCCTCGTCGTCGTCGTCGTCGTCGTCGTCGTCGCCGTCGTCGCCGTCGTCGTCGTCGCTGTCACGTCCTCGTCACGTCGCCGTCACGCCGCTCACTCGAAAATACCCCGTTACTCCAAGTCGCTCATTCGTCGAGCATCTCCCATCGTTCCGACCCGACCAGTCCCGACGACGGGGGAGCCAGTCGTGCACGCGCTCGTCCTCTCCCTCAACAGCAGCGACAACAGCCAGTGACCCGCTCCACACGGGTTTGTGGGTAAACAACAGCTGTGCTCGTGGCACACGCCATCTTGACGCCGTGTTGCGACTCGCGCTTTGATACCTGGTCCCGCGAGGGCTCCACGTTCTCCCGGAACGTATGTTTTCCGTATACACACGCGAGAATCGAATGGGAACGAGCGAAGGAAAGGAGAGGGGGAGGATCCTCTCGACAGGATCACGAAAGGACGATCGTTCGGATTATCAGCGACCTGCTCAAGTCTCTCTCTCTCTCTCTCTGCCAACACGAATGCTCTGGTGCTACATCATGAAAAACGCGCGTCGTACAACGCGTATTAAACGTCACAACGGAAAGATCGATCAACGTCCCTCGTCGGAGCAGACACTACTACTGGTTCCAGTCCGCCGTGTTCCGAGCATATATTGTACTAACCTCATCCACGGAGCATGTCTCATACGTATACTACCTGATTCGCGAAATTGGCGCGAGACGCGTTGCGGGATCATCGACGCCGCGCATGCGCGGCTCGATTGGTGAAGTGACGCTGGTAAAAAGGCGCGAAAGGAACTTCCGCGTCGAAAGTTTCGACCCGATTCTCCTATCTTCTTTCCAATCGGAATAAGTCTTCCGCTTATCTCAGGTATCTCAACTTGTTTTGTTATTTTAATCACGAAAATCTTTATATTTATTTTATCTTGACTAGTTATATTATTTTATCAACAGTCTATGCTATTCCTTATAAGGAATATATGGAGATACAACTTTAGATATATAAAGATATATATTTTCTTTTTCTCTTGTATTACATATAAATATATTTCTCTCTTTTTCTGGTGTCCTTAGCATATGGCAGCCAAAAATAGCGCGATGAAAATTTGTAAGGGTAAAATCGGAAAACGCGAGAAAGAGAGAGAAGGGGAGGAGAGGGGAGGAGAACATTATCTCTCGTTTATAAATTTCCAAAATTCATGTATGTTGACGTAGCACGGAGACGTTAAGCGATACGTTTAGTGCCGGTCGATTTTTGTCGCCGTGTGGGATATATTATTTTAGTATTGGGTTTACACAAAAGACCCTTCATGCTGTTTATTTAACTTGAACTTTTTTATCCTTCTTACCTTACCGCGCACTTCCTCCCGTTGTTCCGGATGCCATTCGGCGCTGCTCCAGCAAGAGATGTCAATCGACCGACAAGTTAAATGAATATATGTGTTTATATAAAAGAATTGAAACTTAATCATAAAAATATCTAATTGTAATTAAAATGATAAGTGTTCTTAATAATCGATAATAATTTTCTTGATTATTTATTCCATTTTAGTAATGAGTATATAATTCCTCTACGTACTTGAATTCTTTATTACTATAAATAATCAAGAAAATTATCAATTATTAAGAACACTTTTATCATTTTAATCATTTTATCATTTTAATTAGAATTAGATATTTTTATGATTTAAGAGAGAAAGAGAGAGAGAGAGAAAGAAAAGAAGAGAGAACATATATATTTCATTAAATATAATATAAAGAAAATTATCGAAAATCTTAAAAACATTTTATTTTGGACTAGTTGATATGCTTTGGTATTATAATTATGATTACAATATTGATATTGCAATAAATGAATCTGTGAGACAAGGAAACAATTTTTCCGCGAAGATATAATAACACTCTCACAAAATGTTCGATAAATCGATAATTTCAAATCTCTCGTTATACATTTTTCTTATATCTTTCTTTGTAAAACGAAACAAAAATAGTATTTCGTTTACTCTGCTCGTTTAAATTTATTTTTCATTAAAGCTGCATGTAAAAAATGCATGAGAGACGCATAAAAATTAAAATATAAATGACATTCATAAATAAAATTATTTCCTTGTTGCGCAAATGGATTTATAATCGTTATCAATTGCATTAAAAGTAAATTAATAAATACTAGAAGAATAAGGCACTCCGGAATAAATAAGGCGTGAAAACGACAGCACTGTTATAGTTCCCAGCTGGTGGTCGCTTCTCGTAGATATCGCTCGTTAAACTTTGATTAACTCAGATTATCAGAATTTTTTTGTTAGAAATAAGAGAGCTGTTGCTCTCCCCCCTGAAGATTATGGCGCGTCGACACGCTCTGATGCCCCGAATGATGGAAGTTTTGGATATCATGAGTTGCTTGTTGTCCTCGATACTGATTACAACTCGAAGACGTCGAGGAGGATACGTTGCAACTGTTGTTCATAAGTGCGGTAGCGTTGTTATTTTGAATAGCGAATGGCCACGACTGTAATATCAAGATTATTCTTATTATTTATATGAAATTTAAATCAATACTTTATAAGTATTTGACATCTTAAAGAAATTATATTACATCGAGCATTATAATTTTTTAAATGTTATTAAAATTTAATATACTCTTTCTCATATAATATTAATTTTTCTATTAAATTGTATGCATATTATGGTTCGATGTGACTAAGAGAGATTGATAATTTAAATTGTATGCATATTATGGCATCGATGACTAAGAGAGATTGATATGAATATGCATATAAATTAAAAATTTTTTTATTGTATATTATATACGTCTTTTATTGTATATAATATACGTTGCTTTAAAATTATTATTAATTTGATTTTATATGAAGAGAAACATTTTCAGACATAAAATATTCTTTGATCTCTACGCGGAGAGAGAGAAGGGAATCGAAGAGGCAACTATTTCGCAGCGAAAAACGGCACGTTTCTTCAAACAACGGAACTAACTTAGAATTAATGGTGGCAAAGGGTGGGTAGATGGTTTTTGGAGTGATTCGATCCACCTGGACAGACATAAACAGAGTGGATGACTGCGAAGACGATGCTCGCCTCGCGACTCCGAGTGGATCCACCTGGACTCGATGTTATTCTACAGAATTATTATCAAGTTGAAAGTCCGATTGTAAAAGCGAGAAATAGTTTGGATATAACTTTCTCGAATTCCCAGTGAAATTGGTTTAACTCTGGGTAATTCTTAAAATATCTTATACAATTATATATCTAAATTAAGAAATACTAATGCGTAAAATGAAAATTTTTTATAGTTACGTCTCGTTCTTTTCCGTTTAGTTTATGTTTCTATAAACGAATAATTTTAATTATTATATTATTTAATTATACTTCTTTAATTTGAGCTTCTATTAGTAAATCAATTCAAGATCAATATCAATATTGTGTCTGTCAAAGTTACTTAGAATTAATTAAAATTCAATTGATTCTTTGTATATCATCTTTTATGAATAATGAAAGGGAAAGAATGATTATTTAAATTTTAAATAGGTTTAATTTTTAGAAAAATGGATACGGATACTCACCAAGGCAAGCGACAAGGACTTGGTAGTTTCGGGATGAGCTTCGCCGTCGTCTCGAAGAACGGCTCGTAAATGTGCAATATACGTTGATGCAAGTCTTAACGTATCCAGCTTGCTCAATTTTGTATCTGATGGTACCCAAGGTAATGAAGTTTTTAATCTTCCAAAAGCTTTGGATAAAACTCTCATACGAGCTCTTTCCCGAGCATTGGCAGCATTTCGCGGCGCGCGACTGTCTATGTCATCTTTCATGTATTTCTCGTCGGAAGGATATTCCTCCAATGACGATGTTGAGGCGCGTCGTTTGCGAGGCATTCTGTTATATTACAGCCATCATTAATTATATAATAGCTATTATTAATTAGCAATTCAAAGCGACAGTTATATGATGCTTCTGTAACTTGCGAGATACATAGTTATCGCTTATCGTAAAAAAATTGAATGAGGCAATTAGTTTAATCAGAATGTAAGTCTCTTTAATATCTTAGCAGTTTTACTTTATTTTTGCAATTTTATTTTATTTTTTTGAAAAGCAAAATCGTGCACATTTCTTTGTTTATACAAAAAATGTAACAATAGATAAAATGTTTTAAAGTTTTTATGTTAATATTGGAAATTTAGAGCACTGCCTTTAAAGCTAACACAATCGAACTATAATATGATTAGCGTAATTAATTGTCTATTGATAAATAATGATTATAAAATTAGTCAATTATGAAAATTAATTCATAAAAAATTACAATAATGCAAACTGACAATTTTTAAGATTTAGTTACATCAAATTAAAACAAGTATTAAATGAGAAGAGTTTCTTTTTGATTTTACTTTCACACAGTATGTGAAAAATCTTTTAGAAGATTTCTAGAAAGTTAAAAGCTAATTTTTTTCATAGGTTTTTTCATTTTTTAAACTCTTGCTTTACTTCGCAACTTATACTTTATCCGCAAATCTGTTTTGAATACTTAGTTGCAAAGTGGAATTTTACATTTAAATGCTATACTAGAAAAAATGTATGATAAAAGAAAAAAACGTACAATTAAAAAAATGTTATTTCTTCTAAACACCAGCTTGGAATAAAAATGCGCGATTTAAATATAATAATATTCTTGATTATTATTTTAATCACTATTTAAATTAAGATTTCATTTTCTTGACACACAGATTCACAACAAAAATCACGTATAACAGCATCAAGAGTTATAAAAGAACACAAATAACAAGATCTGTGATTATAAACTGCCGCAATTTGCTATTTGAATTTTTATAATTTGAAATTAATTTAATTGTAACTAAAGATAGGGAAAAAAGGAGCTACATGAATTATTTAGAATAATATGTATAAAAGAGCTACCTTATTTAGATGATTCAGTTTAATGTATGTGATTAGGCATTTAAATGATTGATCATGATTGTCACTTGTGTTCAGATAACGCAATTAATTATGCAACTTGCTCGATACCTGCTGCGTGACCGATGCTTTTTTTTTACGCGATCACGAGTATATCTGTCAGCAGAGCAGAACGTCGCGATAGATCGCCTCTCCGACGTGAAACTAATTGTTAGTCAAAGTTTTCGAAGTAAAAGCCGAAGGGTGGGATGCAAGAGAAGAACAACATGAATCGAGAAAGAGAAAAAGACAGATAGAAGATGTTATTTGGAGGGGCGCGAGATTTGGGACGTCCCGAAAACCAGGCGGAGCTTTCGAACATCCCAGCTCCCTAATCTCATTCGTCTCATCTCATTTTCCAAGATGCTGCTCGATCCAATCGCACAGCATCCGCGTAGCCACCTGGTACATCCTCTTCCTGATTTCTTTCCTTTCCTCTCTCTATCTCTCTCTCGGAAACTCTCGGGGAAAAGACTAAGAGTTAAACGGCTATATTTATATTATTATACTAAATTGAGATATGCATAGGTTTAATATAGTATTTATACATTAAAACAGCATAAAAAATAAATTTAACAATATTCATAACATTGAATTAATATTTAATAATTTTAAGTTATTTACAAGTCACAGATGAGTTTGCTCCCTTCTCTTCCTCGTCCATTCAGATTTTCGTTTCGAAAAAAGAAGGGTCGCCTGATCTATAATCCATTGAAAATCCTCGTCAACCGGTAGTCATTCATTTCGTTGAAATTAGGATTCGAAATGGATCCTGTAATATGAGGTTTGCGTTGACCCTATTGATCCTACTTAATATCCTGAAGAAGGCGCTAAATTATTACTCGACAATTTCGTGAAAGCTATCTGATACTTTCACCATTTTTTTAAAAATAAATACTTTATGATATCATTTAAACGTAAAAGCTTCTAGTAAATAACAATAATATATTCTGTTAATCTAGATCAAGCAAAAATATTTTAGACAAATAAATTTGGTATCGATACTTTTTTAATAAAAATGATTAATCAAGAATCATATCTTATTGTTAAGAGTAGTAGTTCTATTTATTAGAGTAGTATTCTATTTATTATTATTTTATTTCATCAAAAATTAATGAATTAATAGTTACAATTGCTTTTAAAGTGCAATAAAGATTTAATAACAACGGGAATAAATAAGTTAAATAAGTTAAAGACCAGAAATATAATGTTCATTATCTTAAATTAAAAAACAGCTAATGTTTTTCTGATACGTTTAAATAAATATTTATTAGATAAAAGAAATATTTAGAAATAGATGGCATCAGTTATTCAATGAATATATTATCAATGATATCTGTAGATGACAATTATTATGCATATTTTCTAAAAGTATATCACATAATATTTATAATTCAATAAATATTTTTAGTTTGTGAAAAAATTATTTTATAAGTTATATTTTTTGCATATTTTCTTATAAATGTTATCGTTATTTTTTCTGCACAAAATTAATAAAGATGATTGACAATCTTAAAGCCAAAAAAATATATATATTTTTTTTAATTAATTTGCTTGAAATATAACATGTCTTATTATATTTTTTTCTTTTTATACAGATATTATTTTTATAATATTCTCTTTTTATATAGATATTTATATTTCATTAGAAATATATTATTATATAGAAATATATATTTTCTAAATTAATTTATTTGAAACATGACATTTCTTATATATTTTTCTCTTTTTATAGATAATTATATTTGATTAGAAAACATCTAATGTTGAAAATATTGAGCGAATATTTCAATAAAAAAATCTTCTCATGCGTACGTTCGGATAAAAATCTCTTGAAATAAAAATTCAAAGCTAATTATTAATTATGTACAAAAATGCAAAATTCGATTTACATCATCGCACGAATGACGTAATCGCGCCATTTTGACGTAGTTCTTCAATTTGACGTAAGATGGCGCCGTTGCATATCGCCGCGATGCGTGACATGCGTGTTAGACGCATTTGCGAAGTCGGATCGGAGTCGAGCGTGTCGTGAAGTATTGTGGCTTCTTTTTCTACAAGGTATTTCACGATTTTTTCGCTCAGTTAGTGCTCTCTCGTTGTACACACGCGGGATCGATTCAGACCCTCGTGTCGACGACGATTCATGAAAGCGGTGACGAACGCTAGATCCACCACCGCGTCTCGATGTAACGACATTTCCGGAAGGCGACTCGACGTCCGTTCGCGGAATTTTTGGCACCGACCAGTCATCGTTCAAAAGAACGTGAGTCACGAAATCGTATTAAATTAGCGCACTTAATTTTATCGGAGATTAAAGTCTGCTCAATTAGAGAAGTTAAGTTTCGCAATGTTGATAGTGCAAGAAAATGCGATGTGAGTTGGTAAAATATTTAATTACCGCTTCTTTCAAATAGTCACTTTTATCGTGAACATTGTTTGAATATTCGGAACAAAAAATATTACTACAAATAATATTTTTTTAATTAATGAGAAAAGCTTGTATTTTTAGAGAGTTTTTTTATTTATATTTTAATTGTTGATTTAATAGTTTCACACATCTAGAATTTTAGAATTATATAATAAAAAAAGGCGAATAAAAATTGATTTTACATGTTTGCTACAAATAATATATATGTTTCAATCATTTTAATAATTATTATTATATGTAGCATTGATTATAATATATGACTATAAGATATCTTCATAATTATGTATAAAAAAAATATCACTTTTATTAACTATAAAGAAAATACATATAACAAGATAGCATTTGTAAGAAAGTTTATAAGAAAAAATACAATTTATAAATTAATTCTTTTTCAGAAATAAAGAATATTAAATTATAATAAATATATTATAAAGAATATTAAATTATAATAAATATATTATAAAGAATATTTTAAGTTATAATATATGTATAATATTTTCATATACATCTGGATAATAACTGTGTCATCTATTTCTACATCTATATCTATTTCTGTATTTCCTAGATATTTGACCATGTCGAAAGAACATCAGCTGCCTTCCGATTCAGATGAAGACGATGAAGATTATGTTCCTGATCGTGTTGATAGTGACGTAGTATCTGAAGTAGAATCTGAAGGTGACGTTGAAAGTAGTCCAGAGGATGAAAATGATGAGAATAAAAGAGAAACTGGACAACAAAAAGGTAAAAAAAGATCTAAGGTACGAAGAAGTGTAAAACGTAAAAAAATTATAGAAAATAAATCGAAAGTATCAGAAGATGAAAAAGAAGTGGAAGAATGTAAAGAGACAAAAGAACTCACTGAAGAAGAAGAAAAAAAGAGAGCTGATTCTCTTTGGGCTGATTTCATGAAAGATACAGGTAAAATCTTAATATATATGTATATAGAGTAAAGCATAACATTACATATTATAATTATATAATATTTAATTAGCTTTATCTTTGTTATATTATACAAAATAATACTTTGAAGAAGTTTTATATCTTAAAGAGTAAAGTACAATGATAAGAAACTAATTTTTTTCATTTATTATCTATTAAAATTTTAATATTATCCTATTTGTAATATTATTATAACCTTTGAATATATTAAAAATTTTTTATATAAAGATATATTTAATGTTACACACATACACACACAACACACAAATTACAAAATAGAATTGTTAAAAATATATAATTCTATTTAAAACAGATTAATAACACGAAAAATTCAAAAATGTAATTTTAATAAAACATTATTTTAGCTGTTGTGTCAAAACCAAAGCCACAAAATCCAATCAATAGATCAAATGAAAGATCACCACCAATACAAAAATCAAAAATTCAAGAGAAAGTTAAAGTAACTAAAATTTTTGAATTTGCTGGTGAAGAAGTGAAGGTTGAAAAAGAAGTATCGGTTGATTCTGCAGAGGCCAGATTATCACTTTCCGCAGCTGAAAATTCCACAAAATCATCAGACTCTGCATTTGCAGCGAGCAAAGAACGAGGAAGAGGCGGCATTAGGCGTGCCGGATTAGGCGGCATTTCTTCTGTTCTGGGACAGATTGGGAAAAAAGCCAAAATTAGTACATTAGAAAAATCCAAATTAGATTGGGATAATTTCAAGAAGCAGGAAAACATAGAGGAAGAACTCAATACTCATAACAAGGGCAAGGATGGATATTTAGAACGGCAAGATTTCTTACAGAGAGCGGATTTACGACAGTTCGAAATCGAAAAACAATTACGAAATTCTAGCAGGCGCAGTACACGATGAATTCGCATTTTCTGTACATGTCTCTATGTCTTTTTTCCGATATAGAATCCTAAGATAATAATCGCGGTATAAGATATTTTCTCGCCGACTTGCCAAACTTGAGCGCTTGTTATATACATTTAGCCTAATTCATTCAAGTTTCGCGCTATGTTTTGAATAATAATACGCAAAGGGAACAATGTTGCCTCGTTCGATTCGATGATAAACTGACTATGCTACCGATCGGCGGTCTCTTCGAGAACCGATCATTCCAGTGTTTCAGGACTAATTTCTCATGCATACATAATGTAATAGCTTAATTTACTCTCAGCGAGCCTTTGCCTCGGCCTGATGATCACACAAAACTTCGCATCGAAGCAATATGTTTGTATTGAAGCTTTTGACGCTTCTTGGAAAGATTTGTAGAACTATGTAGAATGTATCCACCGAATATTTTTTTATTTTGTTTCAGTGGGAACGCGCGATATATTTGCATGTGTAGTGTGAATATACATAATAGTCTATAATAACGATTAATCGGAAATTACGAATGAGTATGAAGAAATATATGTGTGTTTTAGGAAATATAACATAATGACACATAATGACATTGATTCATGACCATTGCCTTTTGGCAATGTATATGAAATACAGTACTGTATTTATAAATGGACCTCGTAATAAGTAATGTAGATTACATTGAAGCAGTAACAGCGAATTTTGTATATCACTGTTATCTTAAGTTCTCAATAGATAAAATGGTACACATCATTACTTTCATACAATGTACTAGATAGCAATATCGACATGTAATGTAACACGTACATAAACATACACAATAATTCAAATAATAATTCTCCGTTCAACTCAGGTTAAATCCTTCCTTGATGTACCGAATTTGAAATACATTTTAATGTAATTTCACATAGGATTATTTTACATTTGTGAATTCTTTAACATTATCTAATAAATTATTGATAAGAAATCATATTTAAATATAATCTGTTTCAGAATATCAATTTTTTGCAGTATATCCAAGCAGATATTAAAGTATTATGAAACCTAAATATATTTTTTTAAAGTATTATAAAACCCAAAAATAATATTTAAAAATGCTCTATATAATATATGTTTTGTGTTCACAGGTAATTCTTTTTCCTTTTAATTTGAATATCTTTTTTCAGATGTTTTATTTTATTACGGACATATATAACAGGAGATATTGTAAATTTAACACACAATGAATTATTTGAAAAATTAATATATATTAGTATTTGAGAAAAATTACAATATTAAAAATGTTGTAATTGTCAAATGATTGAACTCTCATATTAGAGATACGAGTAAAATTAAATACCAGATAATTTTTTAAAATTACTTGGAGAATATTAATTTTTAGATTTGAAAAGTCTAATTGTGCGTGCACCAAATCTGTTAATTTCTTTACAAATGGTGTCCAATTCTTTAATAATTACATTGCGTTCTTCACTAGAAATTTCGATAATTAAACGAAAATATTGTTAGAAAGTGCATTTTAAAATAATATGATCTCAAGCATGCTAATTTTGTTTTTTCTTACGATAATTCATTCGGATGTTTAAGCCGAGGTTTCTGTTCAATGACCGATGATGTGTGTCTGCCCGTTTGAATGTCATTTTTTAATATAGTTTTAGGTGCCAATCGATTCGTCTTTTTTCTTCGTCTAGTCTGAAAAAGTCGATTCAATAGCAATATGAGTTCATATTATTTTAGCATTTAATTTGTCTTTTTATATTTGATTATTATATTATTTTTATATTGATTGTACACGCATTTTAAAGTTAGTACAGATTTTTTTTACAAAATAGAATTTATTTTTATTCTTTTTTAAATTTCTAATTAAGAAAGAAAATAACTATAAAAATGTGTTAGGTTCTATCTATCTAAAATGTTTCATTTAAGATACATAGTTAAAAACGATTATTCATTACTGCAATTTTTATATACATATATATTATATATTATTATTATCATTATAAATTATAAATTAACTTGAACGCAGCAACATTCGTGATCACTCGAAAGAATCTCACGAGACGACATGCAGTTACAAGCTCTTAGCTCATTCGAATTACGACCTCGCACACAGATACAAAGCGTCGTGAAACAGTCATGTCTCAGTTGATCACTTTCTCTCTTCGAAGTCTTTTTATATCGGCGACGTGATCTTTTCCTCCTCTTTCTGCTCTCCGTAGACACGTTCTGTGAATTCGCGTGTCCATGCGAACTTCCACTCCGAGGATTGTGACGCTCTGTCAAAAATTCACATGAGACATTCGTAAACGAGTCCACTAAAGTGTCAAATATTAAAGATTCTTCTTAAGACGTTTTTTTTTTACCATTTTTGCGACAGGTACATATTTGCTGTATATAATTCTGGGAACTGCCGGAAATTCGTTCAAACGTGTTCGTGCTTTTGATGCTATAGGCAAATCAGACAAATACATTAAAGTTACTATATTTTAATACTTATTAAATGTGTATGTGTTTATTTAACATAGATATATTTTTAACTTCTTTAATTTAAATAAATTAAATTTGCCGTGCTTGACAAATATTAACAATATAATTGCAGAGTTTAAGATAATTATTTTTCAAGTTAATATTTTCAAAAACATTTGCTTGAGAACTCGTGTATTATTAAAAATTTTTATATTATTTTTTGTCTTATTTGAAGCTTCTTATTTTTATACTTTCGAAGAAAAAGACATATTAAGTATTAATATGTATTAAAGATACTAATACCGTGAGAAACAGTTACTGTTATTTTAGTTTAGAAAGGAATCTTGAGTCAATAAGTTGGCATGGAAGAAAGAATTCTTAAGAAATGTGGAAAAAGCAAGGCCAAGTTTGTTTCGCGCAAAATCAAATGTTTCATGATATTAATGATGATACATATGGTAGTAATTTATTATTATATATCTTACTGTAATTTTTGTCGTAAACGTGTTAAAATTGAACTTCCAGAAGTCGATTGCGAGACACGACATTTCTTACTGAAAAAAATATAATGTAAAATTGTAAAACCATTTTTTAATTATAAACATATTTTCTACTATGTTCCATTAATTATTATCTTTGAGAAACATTTGAATTTAATAATATTGATTTTGCTTATAACCATTTCCTTAATTTTAATATATTACTTTGTTATTAATATAGGTACTGCTATAAATAATAATATATATATTGATAAATTACTTTAAAAAGTTAAATTTCAGAAACTGATTCATATATATTTTGATAACTTTTCTGATAACTTTTCAAATATCTATAATATGTGTAAATTAAATACAAGATAAATACTTTATAATTAATTCTGTTTACAAAAAATCCCGCACGTTAAATTAATTCTTTTCAGAAAATATTCCAATAGTAATGAATTATTTAATACTTTTTGCAGGCTTTTGATTTATTAAACAACGGTTTCGAACTTTCCGAGTCATCTTTCGAGCGCTTTGGTTCTGCACATTCCTGTTTTCTATTTTGTGATGCAGTAGAAATGCTCAGAGAATTTCGATAAGGCGTTGAAGACGGTGTCGGATCTTTCTCTTTGTTCTTGTATTTATGAACGCTATCAAAGATAAAGACAATATTTAACAAGTATGTACACATAGTCTGAAGTTAAACTGTGTATATTCCATAGTCTTATCATAAAACGTGGCATTTCATGAAGATCCTATTTAACGGCATTTCATAAAGAATCCGATTGCAATCCGATTATTAGATTTTTACGAAGTGGATCTTTACATGATGCTGTTTTCTAGTAAGCTTACAAGAGACATATGAAAACGCTATATATAATTTAAAAAAAAATTTTATTACATGTAATATTGCTTAATTAATTATATACAATTTTTTAGCGAAAAACTGTTTCTTACGTCAACTTTTCTTTATTTGCAATACATTTTCGATCACGACATTGCCTTGGCATTTTTTGATTCACCATTTAATTAAAACTTTCATTTTCCTTAATCGATAATTATTTGCTGTAATGTTTAACAAAAAATTGAAATTATTATATATAATATTTAATAATATCATTAATTGACTCACAAAACGTATGTTATTTGTATAACATTACATATTTCTTAATTATCTTCTCCTCTTTTGCATTAGAAAAAATTAGCCAATTGTAATGATACTTTTTTGAATCATTTTTTTTTCATGTGCAAATTATGTACGTTTTAAAATCACATTTAGTCATAATTGATATAAACTTATTCGATTTTTATGTGAATTAAATTTTAACCTACATGCACATAACATAAAGAAAATGCACGACTTTTTGATTGCATTTTTGATTGCGTCTAACTTCAATTAGATTTCAGAAAAAATAACTATAATTATTATTATAATTATAATTAATATAATTTCAGAAAAATCAGCTCATTCTGATATTTTCATCATTTTTTTATGTGACTATTTTTCTTTAATAGCGAAAAAATTTTTTTTGCTCTTCTAATTTAATGCTAATGATTAAAAATTATTATTTCTGCATTTTTCATCGGTCACATGGATAATTAGCCTTTCGTAAAAAACGATGATGTCCGGTTTTGCAGCGTTCGTGATTACATACTCTCATCTGCGATGCATATCGAACGCATCCCCGTCGTCCGAAGCACGTGATGCAACCGATAGCAGGAGTATCGACGCCAGACTGGCGGCCGTTAGTTCGCGACCTTGCCATCGGCAATTTATTCACCAGCCGGAATATCTTAGCGCAGCCCGTTTTCCTGCCTCCAGCAGGCTCCATATATTTTCCGTATCGCGAGCAATAAAGCTTCTTGTCCTTCCGAATGTCGTTGTCCTTCTCATATTTTCAGTTTTTAACAAAAAAAAAAAAAAAAAAAAAAAATATATATATATATATATATATATATATATATATATATATATATACATACATATTTTTTTTTCATCGTCAAAAACTGAATTGTATATATGTGAATCATGTAGAGAATAACGGTTTTAATCCTCCTTTCGGATACCCAAATGATATTCTGAAACCGCATCCCCCTCTATGTATCCCTTCTATCCCATATGGCTGCCCCTTCCTAGAGGCATCCATTCGAACTGTGCAGACGGGTGAATTAGTTCGAATGTTTCACGTTACGTGGCGCAGATACTCAAGCGTTACTCGCATTTAAAATTCGGTATCGCGGTTATAAAAGAGTTCGAGCGAGGACTGAAAGCATACTTACCTGGCGTAGAGGCTACCGTGATCAACAAGGCGGTTCCTCCAGGGCGAGGCTCTTCCATTGCACTACGGTTGAGCTGACCCTTGCGAATATCCCTAATGTGGATATCTCGGACGTATAATTTTTGTTAGTCGGGACTGCGTTCGCGCTATCCCGGATAATAGAACTATAAAAATAATTATTAGGTGAAGAAGCGTTTACTAAAGAATTATTTAGAGTCTAATTTTTATAAAGGAAAAATATTTTTCTCCTTTACGCATTTAAATTGCCTCTCTTGACGTATAAAATAATTCAAAGCGAACTTTCTATGTTTCATAGATTTTTCGGATTTTATTTTCCATTTATTGTTTTTAAAATTATATTATTACAAGATAAAGAGGTGACTGATTATGAGAGACCGGAAATAGAGTTTATACTCAATGAATTTTTTCGGAGATTTTTCTAGCATCTTTTATAAATAATAAGTGGAAAATAAAATATACTTTCACTGCATAGATTTTCAATCTTATTTACGAACAAAGCAACGTTAAAAAAAGAGTTATTTAAATGTTTAAATTTAATATTCATTTTATATCTCTCGTAATTCGTGCACTATATTTTATATGCAAAGTATGGGTTTACAACAACAATGTGAATATGAGTGTATATCGCATAAATACTCGCAAAAATTCTCTAGTGCTATTTTAAGAGACACAGAATGCCTGAGCACGAGATGAGAGAGTTGACCGGCGCGCGAATCCGCATGGTAGATGATAATAATTCTTAATTGAACGCAATTTTTAAATTAATGGGCGATGCGAGCTCGAGGAAATCGAATTTAATTTAGAGGTGGATGTCGAGCGATAATCGAGATACATATGTAAGTATATATGTAACTGCACACCTCGCTTCGTATATAAGCTTTAAGTGTATCAACCTTCGATATGTAACTCCATTTCCTGCGTTCCTGATGATGCAAGATAGATATCTCGAATAAATAATATTTTCTTTAATCTTTGACTTTTTCTATCGTAATATTCCAATAATATAAGCAGATTTGAATTAAATGTTTTGTTTCATTAACTACGTAATATTTTTGAGAATATAAAAAAATATAATAATGAATAAAATTAAATCTATATTTAATTATCAAGTTTTTTTTTCTTATATTAATAATTATTATATATATTATATTTGTTATGTACTTTTTTTATAATAACAAAGGTTTATATTGCAGGTTTATACATCAAGTTTATCATAATATATAGATTAAAATTAAGAAAATATTTGGTGATAAATCATCGTATGATACAAAAGCACAAAGCTATTTAATAAAAAAAATTTTTGTAGCTTATAAAGGAAGTCTGCAAGGAGTGTATATAATCGCTTTAACGAGCTCAATTTTTATTAATAAGATTTTGATAGAGAACATCGCAGTTATTAGTGGTAAAAGGATCGAAAAAAGGACGATCCTTTTTTTATCGAAATATCTACTTTGCTTCGATATTGTCTTACACACGCAAAGAGGATCGCCGATTCTTTTCGTTTGACTTGCACACGTTTGCATAATTGGAAATATTTCATTTTTTTCGCAATAAGTACCATCGAAAACAAGGATAAGGATAATTGATACTCGAGCTGATTCACGTTCGTGATATCTGGATGTTAAATGCAATTCCTAGTGCATCTATCTAGTATATCTACTTTGCAAATCTGCAAGGCAAACTGTACTCACGGAAGAGAAGAAGTATCCGGGGATTTATTTTCATCGGCACCAATCATTTGTGACAGAAATTCCCTCCGCGAGTTGCCGTACTGGGAATTGTCTAGATACACTGTATGATGGAAGCACCATGAGAGGAGAGATGAGGGATTGATGCGATCATTCGTCACGTTATGACAGATAATTTCAATCGAAAATTGACGTATGGGTATTATATCAATATAATATATATTATTTAATTATATGTAAAAATACTAAATAATTGCATTATTTAACTATATAAAAAAGTATAATCTTTCTCACAAATAGATTTTCCTTTCTTTAATATAAGTTGACTTCCTGTGATTTCAAATTAATGAGTGATTATTAGAGAGAAATTATTGGAGAATTAATTTCCCCTGGGAAAAAGTCAGGTATATTACATAAATCGCAAAATTGTATCTACATATTTGAAATACCAGCTTGTATTTAGATTAATCCTGTACGTATTCGTTTAATTTCGGAAATCGATACTTCATTATAGCGACATTGTCCATCGAGACTGTGGACTGTAGCAAGAGCATCGATGGTCCATTCACCGTTCATCGAATAAAAAGAGATTAATCCACTCGAAAATACGGGAGCACTCGTGCCTAAAAGCACTTGTGAATCGGTATGCGGCTCAATTACATGAAAGAAACGTGACGCAAATTAATAGGAAGCGAAGCGTGGGCCGAGATGAGAGAAAAAGAAGACACACGGAAGAATGAAATGATGTCGTTCAACTTACTTCTTGGAGTATTTTTGTCGATAAATTGATTACAGTGGATAAAGTGCCCGAGAAAACGCGCGATGTAGTTGATGGAAAATCAATTTATCCGATTTAGAAGTAAAACATCTTAAAGTAAGGTAAAAATTTCTCCTCTTTCCATCGTCTCGAAGAATATTTGAGAAAATTCAATTTCAGAAATAACGTGTATTATTTTTTTGTTGTTTCAAGTTTTAACAATTTAAAGATAATGAATAAGTTTCTATTCTCGATGATGCAGCGTTTTGTTCGCAATGTGTTATGTCAATATTTGAACATTCTGCTATTTCGACGATGCAATTGCAAATACTCTTCAACAACACATTTACATTCCAACAGAATAAGTCACATCAAATCATACAATTTGATTACATAGTTGAGAGTCATGTAATTTTATAAACTATAAATACATTAATTTTTTTTATTTTTATATTTTCCTGAACGAATATTATATATATTTGTATATTCAATATATTTTATTTTTATTTTCTAATTAATATATATACATATATTATGTATATAAATATTTATAGAATATTTATTAATAACTTTTTCTATTTTATTAGAGATTTTCTTTTATTCCTGATTTGTTTTGTTTAATTCTCTAAACATATATTCGAATTCTATCAATTAAAATCTTAATTTTAATTTATACTTTTATTATATATATATATATATATATATATATATATACATAAAACACTCCATGATTTAAAAACTTAAGAAAAACTAAGTTGGGAATTTTCATGACCATCGTAGTCAATTAAACTTTCTATCATTACGCGATGCGACGACTTTTAATTGCGTTTACGTAAGGAAAAGCGAGACTTGTCTTGAAACCGCGTCGGGCAACGACCTTCGACATTGACCGAGGTCATTTCATCTCTGCAGCAAAGTAGAACTCATCTGTGCGACGCATCATTTTTCAAAGACCGCGTTTCTGCTTTCCTTTTTCTCGCACATTACCAACTTCGCCCTCGCACCTCTCATGAAAACGACCCTTTGCAATCTAAAAGTTTTCCTTCTGCGTAAAAACATGTGGTAGAAAGATCGGTTTCTTTACCCTCGTCACCGTTGCTTGTTTTTCTCTTTCATTTTTTTTTCTGTCTTGCTTCATCGGGAACGATCATGTTTTATGGATACTCTCAAGACACTTGCTTCCCTAAATATTTATAGTCGTTTATTTATTTAATCTGAATTGCCAGAAGCCCGTTAGCACAATATAATATATGAGTCGTTATTTTCTATTATTTGCAACAATTATCGCGACAATTGTATCTCAATATAAATGACTTGTGCAGTATATTGTAGTATTAATTTATCAAACATTAGTTTATTAAACTGGAAACAATTTTTTAATACATAAACAATATATTTTAATACATAAATAATTCCTTTTCTTGAAATAAGTTATTGTAAAATTTGTACAAATGGATGACACACTCATATATTTATAAAATTATTACACAATAATATTTTAAAAATAATACATAAAATAGTTGAAACAATGTTATCGCTGTTTCCTTTTGCGAATTTTTTTTATTTTAATAACTATACTCTTATAGAAAAAAACCATTCTTTTGGATTATTCATTGTACTATAATTTGCAATTACTACGACGAATGGATATGCAAACGGAAGATTGGATTAGATTCAATCATCTGTGGAAGCCGACTGTTAATTATTCCGGAAGTTGAGCGTTCGACGATGCAGTTAAAGGCGATCTCGTTGGCAGAACAGGATGTAGGCCATAGAAAGTTGCACAAGGAAAGTGGCCCGCGATTTTAATTTAAACCGTTAGTGCATGCAACTCGAAAACGGATAACCCCACCGTATTGACTTTGAAGCGCAAATTATAATTTAAATAAATCCGTTTAGCGTACACAAAATGTGGCACAAAATATAAATCAAGTATTGTATATATACGTATAGGCACATTGTACAAAATCATGCTCCTATATAACACAAAATACATATATGTATGTTCTGCAAGCAATATAGGATATAAATATTTAATATGAACATTTTTGCATGATTGAAATTTAAAATTAATGTTTTTAATTATTTTCTAAAGAAATTATATATTCAAGAAGAATACCTCACACACACATTTCATCGACATATTTTTCATATTTCTAAAATGCGCTTTCGGTAATATTTTTACATAAAATATATGTAAAAAATTTCTAGTCTCTTGTTATGAATAATAATATAGTGATACTGTGATAAGAAAGCACTTAGTGCGATAGCATTGTAATCTACAAAGAAGAATGACGCTAAAAAGTGATAATTAAGTGTGTTACTTTTCAGATACAAATATCCTTATCGAATAAGAGAATAGAAAGAGGTGCATTCTCACGATAAAAATCACATTTATATATACTACATTAACTTCTAAAGTTGCAAAGTATAAATGTCAACTTAAAAAGATAACATTTTATATATCGACGTTACACATAGTATTTTAATTTTTAATTTGACGAATAACTCAAAATAAGTATTGAGTCATAAGAAAAATTGAATTGACAAAAAATTAATCAATATCAATGTCAAATATTGTATCTTATATCATATCGCCAGATTTGTACATTCGATGGAAAACTTCGTCTTGAAACGTCACAAAGATATCACTCGACAGTGATATTCGATAATGAAGATTCATTCGCTGTGACTCATATGTCGTAATGTAATCATTTTACTTATCGCAAACAGGTGTGTGGCATTCCATTTTGCTGTTAATTGATTTTTATTTAGCGCTTTTATGTAAAAAATGTGCTTTATTTTTTGTAATTTTATCAATATGCTATTTATAATATTTTCATCATTTATACATACTAATTCTTACATAATGTTTGACATAATGATAAATGTGAAATAATCTTGAATATAATATTATATAGTCAATATAATATTATAGTGTCAATATATTTAGTAACATTTCATTTTTTTATTCACATTTATATACATATAACACATATACGTATAACACAAATATATATTTTATAATTTAATTCTATTCTATTATTATATGAAAAGTAAATTAAATTTGCATTTTAATGTAGTGATTTACATGTAAAATTATTATTAAATTATAACAATTTACTTTAATTTACATTTCATGCAATTATATTACAATATATATTATACAAAAGACTTTGTCGTAAACATTTTAATTGACAACATTTAATACTCTTCAATAACAGCACAATTTAAATGGTATTAAAAATTTAGCGAGAACGGATGCGTGTAAAATTTATAAAAAGTGACGGTAGTCACAGCGAAATCTCTCTTGTTCGATATCCTCGTAAATTTTTACCATTTGACAGATATAAATGTCTCGCGCGATGGTGCAAAATACATATTATCGTTATTCCTACTTCAGTTTCTGACATTTCGAAGTATTTTATGGAGACGGCGTAGAAAAGAGAATAATATAATAGGCCATGGTCCTTGGAAGGACCGGTTGACGTAACCGGTCCACTATTTTTAACCACGTCCTTTTGTTTCACTTTTTGCTCACGCTCTCGTCTTTATTCCCGTTTCCTTCCTACACCTCCTAAATAAAAAAACCACTCTACTTTCCACACCTTTCTTTTTTTTTGCGTATTTATCCAAAGCTGCTTGAAACAGATTGAAGAGACAGATATCCCCAAATATAACTTGTCATAAATAATATATGAATTATGCGTACAAATTCATACATAAATTTTTATAATTTCTTGAAAATTAAAGAAAGTTAAACTTTATATTTGTATAAAAACTTTATCGATGAAAATTATTTAAATTTTAACAATACAATTTTCAAAACTTGAATCGCCTTTCCTCTAATTATATATGTATTTATATACATATATCAACTAAATTATAGGAACTTGTCAAATAAATACTTGATAAATACACATGTTCATCAAAAATAACTGAAATGTTTTATCTAACTTTTGCTACAAATCTCGGAAATAAGCTATGCAAACAATTCTTGAAAAATGCGAATAAAGATAAAAAATAGAGTGATCCGAGAATATCGCGTATTAAATATAAAAGTACAGTTACTTATGTGAATGCGGTGAATTGTCAGAGAGAAAGGAATTTGTCATTTGCAAGCAGCTTTAGATACAACCATTATGCTATCTGCGAGGCAACCGTTACATGGTGAATACGAATGAGAGCCTCATACATATAAAAAATTGTAAAAAAAATCATAAAAAATTCCTAAATATAGTAGTATAGTTTTACCCATTCATTGGATTCATAAATATTTTTTGACAGGCACATCATATCAAGTGTATGTAATTTTAATTATTTTTTTTATCACAGAATTTTTTAAGAAAAAAATAATTTATATTTTTTCGTTGCTAATAATAATATTATAATTACAAAATTCTATATTTTTTTAAAAGAATAATTAATATAATTAATATAATTATTTATCGTTTTCTTTCGATGTGTGTATACTTTACAACAAAATTCAAGTATTAAATAAAATTATACAAGATAAAATTTATCACAAGATAAAATTAGATTTTTCTTATAACGTAATAATAAAAATTATAATAATACGAGAAGCTTGCAAAAAATATAGAATAAAGAAGGTAAAATATACACATATATTTTATATATTTTACAAAAAAATCACATCAATAATAATCTATTATTGTCATTTGTATTGCTGTTAATAATCTATTAATAATCTGTTATATTATTGTAATAATCTATGGTTTTCGCCAAATTTCTAACGCCATATAATGTATGTATACAGGTGTGGAAGGGATGACAGCCGTTCGGCCATCTCCGCCAACACTCGGCGGCGCTCGGCCGTGCTCGGCCGCGCAGCTACACCGCCCGGACCGAAGGCACAGTAGTCACAATCAGTCCTTGCGCATACTTCGCGGTAGAGAGGTGTTCGTCGCGTCCTGTCACTGTCGGCATACTTCAATGTATTCGAGACAAGGATTTTTTCGACCGGCGGTCTCTCGCGAGCCTTCTAATCGCTATCGCGGCTTCGAAAGCTTAGTGCTCTGAAACGCCGGTCGCGGATTAGTGCGCGGATTCAGTTTCGGTACAAGTGGCGGAAAGCTAGCAGTGAGAACGAGAGACCGGAGAGGGAGAGAGAGTGAGAGGAGGACGAATGGTGTGCGGCCCGTGATCGATCCCACAGTGTGTCTCGTTAAGGTGTTTTTTTTTTCGCGATTTCTCGTCGCTGATCTCTATTATGTCGATGATCGCGTGTGTCGATAAATGGCTTTGACTCGTGGTGTGCTCGCAAACGACAGAACGCCCGCAACGATGCTGCCGCAGACACCTGATATCATCCCGACTACGCTCAACCAAGTAAGTGGTAGAATAGTACGATATTACGTTGATTAAATTCATCCCGAACGGATTTATATGACGCTGTCATTAAGCATATTTGGCAATTTCAAATTTACGATATTACGTAAAATATCGAAGTGCAGGTTACTTTTCGACAAATGTATTTTGCTCGAATTTTTCGTTACGATCTTTTACGATACTTCTGGTAAAAATTATTAATTATTCGATATTATTTAGATATTTTATTTATATCAATATAATATTTAAGAGATAAATGATACAAAAGAGATATTAATAATCGCGGAACAAACGACATAACGTACACATTTATTCGTATCTATAACCCCGCGAAATTTGAACCCGCTGAAAATAAACCGGCGCCAATAACATTGCGATTACAGAGATCATCTGAAAATTTTGCGTTTTACAGAGGAATATTTCTCGTGGAGAATATTGTACAATAATACACATAATGTAATATTCGATAATATCGCACAATGGTAATTAAGATTTAGTCATTTCCGATCGGTTGCAATTAAATTATTTTAATTTTAAATCGCTCTGCTTTATCACAGTTATGTTCGCGATTCAATCGGTCGCTATTCCTACGATATTTTAAAGCTCCGTTATAGACGGATTACGTATGTTCCGCGTACAACTTACCAGGTAGAAATTGATTAACCTTGGAATCCTGTCATGGTTCGGTGAAGTTCGGACGAAACGATCGTCTTAAGGTCACGGCGTACTTAGGATCAGATCAGATTAGATCGGATCATGAAATCCCGAGAGAAAAAAACTGTCGATATCATTCGGCAATGGATGTAATCAGTTCGAGTACGTCTGAAACATGGAGCACATAGTCCACTTTAACCATCCTGAGAATTTTAATTAAAACTTTATCCATTTGCTTGTAAAGTGAATTTTACGTAATATCGTAGAAATTGCTATTTTAACCTTGTAAGAATACCAGTAATTTTTAATTGACGATTAACTAACAGATTAATTGATATGTTTTAAAACTGCTATTATCTAAAGAATTTTGTAAAAATAAATTTTGTGTTTTATCTTGTTAATAATTTAATATTAGGTATACATAAAACTTTTTTTTCAAGAATTTTTTTGTTTGAAATAAAATATTGAGAAATATTGGAAGCTGTTTGTAAGATATATTTTTTTATTTTTAAGTTTGCGTTGTTAGAGTTAAAAACAATTTTTCTGTTAGTTTGTCAATTTTTTTGATAGATTCTTTTTTAAATAGTATATATATATATATATATATATATATATATATATATAAGTATATGAATGTGTATTGAGAAATATATGAGTATACATATGAATGTATATTTAGAAGCTTTAATAATTTTCATGTTGAAAATAATAATGCTTCTCGTTAAAAATGCTCTTTGATTATCTCTACCGCAATCTTCCGTAAATATCTGCGATAAAACTCGAGTTGCCAAACAATGCATACGCAGACAGTTTACATGTCACTTGATGAGAAGCCATATAGCAAGAGGCAGACAACGTGATCGATAATATCCGGAAGGTTTTGCGTAGGTCTGCCCGTTGCAGACGACACATTGACAACATTGACATTTTATCATATAAAGTGGTTGGAGTGATTTTTTTTGTTATTTTCTTACGCGTAATATATAATCGATTGAATGGATTTCTTTTATGAATAATCGTTTAAATCAAATTCTTTCGAAAAAGAAAAGAAAAAATGTCTTCTCATCATAAGGCAACATTAAAATTTAAAAAAATTATAGAAATACAATTTACATTTTTAGAAAATCTGTACATTAATTTCATAAGAAAAAACTTTCAAGTTGCTTTAAAATTTATTATATCTATAAATTTTTCGTCAAAATAAAAATAAAAATGAAAAAGATAAAAGACAGATGATATATTTTAACCGATGATTTATTTAAGATTTATCGAGACTTCAACAAAAACGGATCTTAAATTGATAATTTTGCTTTCATAAATTTTTTAAATATGACACGAAAAAAGAATCTTGTGATAGAGATTCATTCACACTACTAGTTTATATATTCTTATACAATCGAGAATAATTTTTCTTTAATGTATATATTAGAGTAAAATTAATTTGTGCGATAATTACGTTTCGAATAATAATTCGCGCGATTAAAATTCACCATTAAGTGCATCTGAATCAAGAGCATTAACATTACTGTAATTGCCGCGAAACAATTTGCGACATATATTTTTCACATATTATCAGCACGTCGGTTTCGAAATGCCGATTGGGTTATCCCAGACCGAGTTTTTTGTTAGGTCAGGAATTAAATCACGCAATAACAATGTGATGTAATATATTACGGCATGTTAAATTTATTATCCACATGAAAATTGATTGATAATTCTTTCAATGAGTTTTACCGGCCAACTAAAAATCTGGTCCTTTAAAAATCATTTTCTCCCATTTAATTTTTTTATTAATATTTAAAAAAATATCATCAGACAGAAAAAATATTGCCAACGTGTGTATAAATATAAAAATGTAAGAGAGTTTAAAATATAAAATAAAAATAGTTTATCAAGAGAGGTAAAGAAAAAGAACACTTTATTTCTAAATAAAATTTTGTTTTAAAATCGTTTTCGACAAATTGAATTTTTCCAACTTACACAAGAGACAATTTTTCCCTCTCGAATATACGTTGCGTGCGTGAAGCCATTGCCTTTTCCGCGTATCCGCGATGACTCGAAAGGATGAAAGGCACCATACGTTTCGCTACGTTCTGTTTGTTCACGTCTGATTTCGTCGTAAGTGCCTCCTTTTCTGAGACGTTCTCTCCGTTCAGGTTTATCGTTCGTGGAAGGTGCGTGACGTACTTCGCGAGAGAATTCTTGAGGTGGGCCTTATCGATTGTTTCGAAAGCCGATGTTAAATAAGGCAGGACCTTGTGTAGTCTCCGTTCATGACGCTCCTCGTGGAAGATACGTGACTGCAATCGTGCGAAACGTATGTAACAATTATTTCCATTGACTCATTGTCTTGTGATTTTTTCACTCTGGCATTATAATTCAATGTCACTTGAAAGATTTTTCTTTTACGTATTTTCAATAATTATTACATTTGTTATAGCAATTGTTATATCGATCTAATTGATATTTTATATGATGATTTTTATATTTTATATTTTCAAAATCAGTCACGACTTAATTTTTTATTGTCTTTTTTTTTACATCGTAAGATTAAAAGTTTTATTCTTTTTTTTTTACAAAAAATATATATTATGTACATATATTTCAATTTGTACATAGTATAATTAGTCTCTTATTTGAATTAATTTTATTAAATATAATTAATTTATTTTATTTTATTTTATTTTATTTTGTATATATTAAATTTATTAATTTTATTTATTATATAAAATTAATATATTAAATTAATTTAATATATTAATTTATATTTATATATTAAAAAATAATAATAGTGGAGGTTATTTCTACGATAAATCAAATTTGCAAATTTCATGATATATCTTACAAGATTACTGGATAAATGAACATTGGCAAGACGGAATTGGTCTCTTGTGGCTACTTCCTTGTTAAGGTCGTTCTACATTAGTCGTAAACATATAGCATGAACGCAAGTAGTATTTTATTAATATTGATGATACTGGCGGCTAATGTGGAAACGACGTTTAAGAATTAAGGACGATACTTGCAGAAACGATTACGTTAACATCTAGCGATATCAGCGCATCGCGGCCGCATCTCAACGTTGACATTCTCGTCATCGCGCGATTCCCTCATGCGTGCTCTATGCAAAATACTGTTTTATGCAAATGTCATCGATGTCACGGTCTTTATAGAAGTTACTGTGAATAAGTCGAGCGTTACTTAACATTTGCAGCGAATAATGCATTGTTGCGAGATTAAATGCGGCAGAAACGTTGGAATTAACCCTTTTCCAGTTGAAATGTTTAGAGAATCACGTATATGCCGCTTTCTGGTCGTAAATGGTAAAGATAGCAAAGTGGATGAGCAATATAATTTGCATAAAACTCTTGAATATGTCTGAAACTACAGATGTAGTTATTAAAAATTTTGTATTCTAAAATATAAATAGAGATTGTGTAATCAAGATGTGTAATATGATGTCATTTCATGTGTATCTGTGCATGTTAGCATAGCAAAACAACAATCAGAAGAGACTATTACAGTATATTTTATTTTTTACCGGAAGAAGAGAAGATTTTTTTTTAAAGGGAAAAGAAGGAAAGAAATAATAGATTATACATTTTTTGGAAATAATCGTGAGAAACGGGATATGAGATAACATTTTAATAGTAATAGGTCAAAATGCGTGAGAATAATTCAAGATTATTGCGGTTAAAAAAATGGAGAATAATGATTTTATAATGACTGCAGACTTTATATTTCTCGCGGATATTCCTTCATACATATATTAATGCTACCGCCAGACTTTTTGTCATTTATTTATACAAGATTAGTTATGTGAATCTCCAAAATTTTAAATTCGTATTATCGCCAAAGAACTGAATTTAATATATTTTTTACAAGTATTTTAATTTATTATTAAAATCAAATCAAAAACCGGGAAATTCGGTGAAATTTTATAATAAAGTGTTTTATAATAAAGTTATATCTGTTAAATTTATATTATAAATTAAATTTGAAATAGTAAAAGAAATAATAAAAAGATATTTAAATTTATAATCTCGTTATCTTACGTAATGCGAGATATTTTATTATAGATTTTTGCGAAATATACAATACTGTATCTGTAATAAATATATTTTTATTTATCACGAAATAATAAAATTGAGTCATATATTATGTATTTTTTATTATATTATTATTATATTATCGACATATTTCTATTTTCTTTGTAATGATTGGTAATTTAAAATAATTACAAAAAGTGAAATATCCAATTTTAGTTTTTTAATATATCTTGTGTGTGTATATAGTACATTTAATTATTTTTTTTTACAATCTTGAGAGCTTGAAGGAGATGCATATATTTGACAAGATTTTTTTAACCATCAGCCGTATTTTAGCTGATAATGAGCGCGCTTCCTAATAAAAAATATCTCTTGATTATAATACTACCGTAAGAGCATCGTTATAATCGTAACAAGAATGTTCAACTAATACTTGTGATAATGATCGATCAGTTGATATATAATATATGGCTCATATCGTGGGTATTAAGGTGGAGTAAAATTATTCCGCTCTGAGATTAAACTCTGAAAATTTTAATGAATAAATCTGATCAGCGGATAATTAGAAATCCCAGAGGAACATACTAATTCACTTCGTAATTGAATGTGAAGCTCTTTGATCATGCTTTTTGCTTTGTATCTTTTATTAATATAATTTTATAGTAAGAGAAAAAAAGAAACAAAATTTTTTTATAAAAAATGCTCTTTGCGCAGCTGAAAGAAGATATTCAACAGACAAATATAGCCAAGGTTGGATAAAATTAATGTCATAAAAAAATTTAAATGATTATTTTCATCATCTTACACGAGAGCAAATGTAAACGATTGAAATTTTAATTATGTAAATCGAGATGCAGGAACGATTTTGTTACGTACCGAAGCGTAACTATGTCGATCGTTATAATTAAATTTGCGACTTACGTCGTTCATATATTCAAAAGAAAAGGTTCAATTTATCAAATACTTAAACGCGAGAGTCTTTCGGATTAATAAATTAAAACGCGTTATCTAAATCGTCGCCATAATTATATCATGTCATACAAAGTAACTGGAATCGTCGCGAAAAATCGCTGCAAACGTGTCTTGGATTAATTAACGATTTTTTACTCTAATTAGATTGGCCACTGGTTATCCCCGTGAAGCACTCTCAAGCCGCATATTAACTCTAAATAATTCGATGCGATTAGAGTATCTGCGAGACGGTTGGCGCACTTACATGAGAAATGGTTGTGTAACTAGTTATGACTAGTTTGCTTACTAGTTTGCTAAAGCGCGAACATGCAGAAGCAAGACTTTTCTTATTATTATTTGTCTTGTATATATTATTTTTTTAAATATTTATATTTTTAGAAACAATTTGAGACTCTTTAAAATAAAATAAAAAGTTTTCTCTTTACAATTAAATTTTGTAAAGTTCTGATGTATTGAAGAAATTTAATACTGGAGTAGTCGAGTCAAAATACTAAAGAATAGTAGAATGAAGAAGAATATTAAATATTATTATATATCCATTAATTAAAAAGAATTAAAAAATTTGATATATAAAAAGTCTGATATATAAAAAATAATAAAACAAAAAAATGTTTTCATGATATATAAAATTCATTATTCCATTATTAAAAAATATATCTTTTATAAAATGCTTATTTAACAATTAACTAAATACGTAATATATTTTTAAACAACATAATTACCTTGTTAACATATTCGTTTATATATCTGACAATTTGTTTAACTGACATAAAATTTTAAAGCCTACTTAATTATTTAAGATTGTATCATCGTACTAACATTTTGAAGATTGTAACACGTTAATTTCGATGTTATACGTATTAAAGAATCTTAACGTGCACATTTTTTATGCTGATCGCGATTATTTCGCAAAAAAACGAAAAAAATGACGTAATGATTCGAGAGGCCCAAAATAGTTGATGACGGTTTCGTCTTAAGATGGGCCGACAGTCTAATGAGATTTCGCGGTCGACAGTGGCGTAATTAGGGGCGAAAGTGCCCCGCCAGTTACAAGCCTCTATCACCTGCTCCTCCGCGTATTTTAATACGTTTTACCGTTAGCTGTGCTCTCGATTACTTGCAACTCATTGGAGAAAGGTGAATGTGTTGGCATCAGAATCAGGAACGAGGGAGGTACGCCAATCCCCCACTTCTTGTAGCTACCAAGTAAGATACAAATATGTATGTGTTTGTTAAGTATGCAGACTTTATGAAACTGGTATATTGATATGCAAAAATCAGAATCGATCTATATATTTCATGACCAGTTCCATCGTTCTAAAAATAAGGATCTAAAGCAGTTCTATTAACAAATCTCTTCTCATGACATGAAAAAAAGAGAAAAATATTTAAAAATATAAAAATATAATAAATTAAAAAAATAAATATATATGTATATATATATATTTTTTTCTATTTAATGTAAAGAATGAGTTATGAAAAAATATATGACAAATTTTTTTTAAATTTATTAAGTAAAATTATTTATATTTATTTTTCTTAAACAGAAAGAAAGACAAATAGGGCTAAATAAATATTTTAATAGTATAATTGATAAATTATTTAATTAATAAATGGAATTGTATGACAAATATGTAATAATACTTTGTCGTATGTGTTCGCTTTTTCCATCATTTTTGGCGAAAAGCATAAATGGATTTTTACTCTGTTATGACATTGACCAGAACGGCAAGGTTTCTTCAAGTGAAGAGTAGTTAGAGAGAAGACGATCGATCGGTCTCGAGGCATGTCAGCGACGTAGACATATTCCAAAGCCACCCTCATTTATTTTGTTCTTGTACAAATTGTTAATTAAATGTTAAATACATTACTAGCAATTGCAAAAATTCCTATTTGAGAAAATCAATACATTTCTTTTCTCACAAGAATTTATAATTCAACAAACGCAAATACCATAAATACAATATTTATTTGTATATGTATGCGAATCAATTATAATTTTCAATGGTTAATGTTATCTTTAAATAGATGATGTTTATATAATTGTACATTTTAACCGCGTTTTAAAAGCACATATGTCTTTTAAAATCAATATTGACTTGTACAATTGATAGCATTTAATCAAAAGATAGCTGCTCGACCAGCTGCAGATTACCAGGTATATCGATACTATATCGTGATATCGGTTTTAAAAAGATTCTATTAAATTCGATATTTTTTTTTGTATCCTGATTCGTTGAAATATCATTCAATCTTACAGTTAAAATAAAAGTGTGAACATAATATTTATCAAATA